TCCGATCTTTCGCTCCCTTCTTTGATGCCACGAACACCAGTAGATAACAATACGGCTCATTTTCGAACCTCGTAGTGCAACCACACACCCATTTCTCGAGTTCTAAGTTGTTTTTCTTGGTTTTTTTCTTTCTCCCCGCATCACTGACCACTTCATTTTGATTTCTAGTGAGCTCTCTTTTCATCGTGAACTCCGCATTTAATTTTTCTCAGCAAGAATCGTTTTAGGAGTGTACGGAGATCGTCATTGACATGTGTGCTAGAGGAGGGACGAATGATTTCTTCTGGGATGAATGCAAGGGAAATTCAACAGCTCTCCTGATAGCGACATGCCAGTCGATGTTTGGAAGGTACTAGTTATTCTTTGGTATGAAACTAACGGCTCTGATCGATTTTTTGGGCGTTTTTGATCTTGCGTACATACTTCCCTGATTGATATAATCACGTCAAAACTTGAAATGAAACAGATCATCAAGCATCGCATCGCATCATCAAATATCACAAAGTATCAAATATCGTATCGTATCACAATTATCACAAAGTATCAGTATTATTCCAAAGTATAATGAAGAAAACAAAAAATAAAAGGTTAACTTTGGTGGTTAGCCTGTCTGTGTTGATAGAGGTCGTTCGTAGATTGATCTCACAGTCATCACTTTCAGTTTCAATTGGACATCAGCCGTATGGAATATCGAGGCAGTACCAATTCTTTACGGTCTCAGCATGTCTTCCGCGTCGAACATCATTCTCACGTGAGTTTATCGGCACCACCGCAGCAACAGTAGGGACTATACCTACCTTGAGTTCCTCCAGAAATTGATCTTATTCGAGTCAAATTCTCCGAATTTCTTTAAGTTTTCAGGAGGTTAGCAGCAATCCGTACCTTCTGACCTATTCTAAAAAGCATGCGAAGCAGTAGCTATGGCAAACTATAAGAGTCAAAGCCTCTCTGTAATTGGTAGCTCTCCTAGCTAGAAGTCATCAAACTAGGATTTCTCCCCAAATAGCGCCTTCAAGTAGTGATGTAGAGACTGTTTGTAAGCCACGCCCAACTACAGACCACACCCTCAGTCAACGCGAGAGCTGTTCTGATGATATTGATAATGGGTAAAGATAAAGGGTAAAGTCCGAACGTGAATGAGCAAGTTTTAAGACTCGCGAAAATTGTTCAGCAGTGCACAGGATAATAAGTTCCGGGGCAGAGGGGGGAGGGGAAAAGTGGGGCAGACCTTTTTGCAATTTAGGCCCTGACAATGAGGCCACAAGCCTTATAAAAAGTACTGTAATCTTGTAGAGGGTTCAAGAAAAATCCTACACATCCAGCTGTTTGCAATTGTTTTCACTGTGTAGATTACCCCGATGTCGCCATTCTCCTAACTTTTTACTTCTTCATCGGATATGAGTACCTGTCACGTTTGAGGATGTGTTTGCATAGCAGTATTTATGGCTCGCCACGCCCACTAGTTTGGTTGGTGATTTGGACGAGCTGTGTTGCCAGCAGCGGCACAACTGGAGCAGCTCGATGGAGCATGGATTGGCATGGTCACCAAACGCTTTGCGGTGAACTCGTCCATACGTCTCGTCTCTTTGCCGCTGCCCGTCCTTGAGCGAAAGTCAACGGCCAAACAAGGAGGCCCGTTTTGCATATTCTTGACGGATTTCTCTGCTTTTTTTCGCCACTGGCCTACCATTGAGTATTCGTACGTCCCCTCTGAACCCCTCCTAATCCCATCGTAATCGCTGCCTTCAAGATACGTTTTTCATTTTCGGCAGAATATTCGTGTGAAACTCTGGTCCAATTTAGGCAAGGTCGCTTTGATCCATGGTCAGGGGGTGGCTTCAAAGCAGATTCGAATGGTGTCAGTCAAGATCGTGGAATCTACGTGATGGAGATAGACGGTTCAGCACATCATCTCGATCTCCGTACTCCAAACACTTGTGATCCAAATACAGTGAATAACGCTCGATTCCAGGTGAGCATGTGGCCCCAGGACTGGCATGAAAATCTAAATAGTAGCCACTTCGAAAAATTCAGAACTCTATCCTAAATTCAGAACCCTGAATCCTGAATAGATTTATGCCTATATTCCCTAAGTCGGCCCTACGTGATATAGATCAGGTGATACTTCTCAACTGATTATGTCTCGCTGCCGCCCCTATGTCTTATAGAAGCCGTACGTTTGCCTGTCCGGAGAGCGAGCCGGTAAATATCCGTATCGTGCCCTTCCAGATTTCCTCATTGTCATTTGATACCTACCCGCAAAGCTGAGAGCTTTGCCCTTTCTGTTCTTTCCCCAAACTCAATAAATCGCTATGCAAATAGCTTTCTTCGCTTTTATTCGGTTCTTTTTCCCAGCTCTTGAGCTAGCCTGGTCAACTGGCCACGTCATCATGGGAGCCCTTTTCGCTGGGAAACACAGCCCCAGGATATTTAGAGAAGGTGGAAATTCTTTTTTTTTCAAGCCAAGTTCTGTACTTTCAGAGGCCTTCTCAGGGTCGAACGTCCGTAGTACTCGAATTTAAAGGCGAACGAGGGGATCCTATTTGTGGAAATTGAAAGGGTCGTAGTTGCTGTAAAAGAAGTCGTTTGGACAGATTTTCTGAAGATTTTAGTGAAAACTTCGAAGAGGAAGCGTAAAATAGGGAAGGGAGCGGCCATGATCGTGAAAGTGGCTGGCGAAATGGCGGGGGGGGGGGGGTTGTACTGTCAAGACCCAGGCCGCCTATTCCTGTTGCTCATGATCTGAGCACGCATAAAAATCAAGGCAACTTTTGTACAAAGTGCGGCGAAAGGGTAGAGTGACCAAGTGCTCCAGCATGGAACCTGAACCTTATTGTTGGGAGCGTTCTGCTTGCCCTTTATGAGCTCCAACAGTCGATATATCTCGTGCCAGTAGCAAGTGGAATAGGTTATCGTTGTATGAAGAAAAGGAACGGTCCCCGCTCTCGTTATCACTGGTCAGATCTGAAGAAGTACTAAATCATACCTTTACTGTAGAATTGGCACTTCATATCTTCTGGCTGACCTTAGATGCCCATTATGGAACTTATGAGGCCTGAGAAAAATGTGCAGGTACTAGAAGAGACAACATGTGCTCAGTACTGAGGTGAAGTCGGTTTTGAACGACGAATTTATTTCGAAATGTTGCCAGCTACATCCCCCTAGCAGCTCTCCCTCCCCTGACAGCACGCTTCTGTAATATCTGCGCCTCTCCGGTCTCCATCCTCTCTACTACTCTCGTTGTCAGCTTCTCTCACTCGGACACACACTCTTTTTGCCACGTTTTCGAGCACTGCTAATAGAGCAGCTATGATTAAACGGAGCTTACTTAGAACCTTCTGTCCGCTTCTTCTTCTTCGAGCAACATAGCCCCTATTATTTCATTTTTGTGTGCTTTCAGTTTCCTTCGTGTTACAGATCTTTTCAGATTGTTGGAATCCTGGATTGTTGGATTCATGGATGTGGTGTTGCTCCGAAGCTGACCGATTTGCCACCACTAGCTATCCCTAACAAAGTGGAATGCAGCGACGTCAACTTTGGGTACCCATGGGGTCAGGGAACTTCAGGCAGCACTTCGTCCGCTGCCATTGGATTTGCTATGCTTGTACTTCTACTGCGGAGTTTCTTTTTCTGAATATTGAGTAATGTGATTTTTTAGTGCCTTTCAATTAAATGATTAATAAAATTCTACCAACTTTGCTGAAAAAAAAACTGTAACTTATTCGTTAAACTAGCACAGAATACAGTCAGGAGGGTGTATGATTAGGCTGAGGTCCGACTATTAACTGCTTTCTACCGAACTTCACACACCTGTTTCACATGTCCTAGTGACAGCAATTTGAACGGAGACCAGCGAGAAGCCCCGGGATGGGAGCAGTGAACACCAGAGGGACGGAGCCTAAGCCCATAGGTTCTACAGGTTCAGTTGTCCTGCGCACAGTTCGGGTCGTTTCGTTTGTTAACTGAGTCCAGCCTAGGGCAAGAGTTTTGTACCAGCTTTCCTCTGAAACAATACCGATAGACTTTTAGCCAGCCTTTTCTCTGAATGAAGGAAACAAATCGAATCGAAGGCCGAGAAATTGGATCCTAGTAATGGCGAAATGGAGCAAATTTTGATAAGTAGCGCGGCAGCGGAGCGCATGATCCAAGGGATGAATCATAAGTAGCGCCAAATATGTAGCAGGATGGCTCGGTGTGGTGTCATCTCTTAGCTGGTACTATATTTGTCTGGGGTGAGAGGAATTGAGCGCTGACTTGTATTAAAGGCAAACTCCGGGATAAAACGAGGGACTCACCTGTTCGAGTGTGAAGAGCTGGTGCTAAGTTGATCGAAGGTAATGAAAAAGCAGGAAATACCTCCAAAGAACTCCAAAATTAGAAATTCCTCTTCGTTAGTCGCTTACGAACCAGGGCTGGGAAAATTACGTGTTTGGACATGTCTACAGCAACTGTTGGCTTTGTGCCATCAACCGACACGCTACAAGCGTCACGCACATAAAAGTCAGCAATGAAAAAGATTTCTATAGTTTCTCTATCTTTTCTATTTTCCTTTCCGCTTTTTTTGTTTGCTTCCTATCTTAAAATTTTTTTTCTCACTATAATGATGACAACGTTCTCCAAAATGGTCGTAAGATAGGCTTTGATGTCGATTTTGCAATTGAAATCCGCTAAATACTCCCCTACGACTTTCCAAACAACGGCTTAACATCTAGCGTTCCAGGTGGTTGTTTGGAAGATCACGTAGGACGGTGGGCGGGCTCAATGGGCTTGGGGCGGCGCCAATGCTCCAACCTAGGCCCCTAGCGCCTAAACCTTATCAAAACGCCCCGCCACTTCTGCACATGGTCTGCCCTTGCGTACTGCTCCATATTTGACGGGGAAAACCCAAATTTCGCCAGAAATCCCGGAATTTGCCTTTAAGGTTTATGGACTACTTGAACTTTCTTCATGGTCCTGCCACAAATGGCAAGAGCACAGACGATTAGAGAACGGCGCCTGGCTCGGCTCCAAATCCAAGGAGGAAGGTGAGAGCCCTAAAACTAAGCCTTGGAGGGGAAACACTCTGGGTGGGTGAGCCAGTCGCAGGGTGGCAGAAGTGAACTTGTGAGATCACAGCAACTATGAGCCACCGTAGGCAAGAGAGCCCAGGCGAAAGAATCAAATTGAGGCAGATTAAAGGACCAGATTCAAATCGTCCGTGGACGGTCCGCTCATGGCTTGGCCAAGAACGGGGATTTGCTTAGGCCGTGAGCACGATGGCTGGAGAGCAGCGCGCTTTCGACTACATCGTTGAACATCATTGGTGGACTAGACCCCTCAGCGCGCTGTGACCACATCTTAGCGCTCCTCCGTATTGGCGCTCAGTGGTGCCACCAAAACCGTACCGCCCACCAGCCATTGTGACCACTGTATGTGGGCGCTACTGTGTGTCTTTAAGACACACCATTATTTCGGATACTGGCAATTATGTGGACGTAATAAAAAGGGCTTATCCTTATTTTTGCCAAGAATGATCGCTTCTTGCTATGTTCAAAAATTAAATCTGCCCTGGCACTTTTACCCTGAGTTTTTTTTCACAAATTCTGCTTCGCTCGACTGTCTGATGCCACAACGCTTGCATTCAAAATTCTTACCAGGAAGGTCTTTCAGGGCGTGACAAGCTTTTTGAAAACGGTCTTTTGCATGATATAGGGGCAGATGCGGGAACCACAGAACCATTTAATTTTTCCTGAACGGCCCTCTGAATACCAGAAAAGGGGGTCCCTAGTTCGATTCCTCTTGGTGACAAATTTTTGCATTTCGAGTTGACGTTCCAAAATTCGCGCAAAATGGAGTTCTGATTGTTCTGGTTGGTTCTAACTCCATTTTGCGCGAATTTTGGCACGTCAACTCGAAATGCAAAAATTTGTTACCACGAGGAATCGAACTAGGGACCTCCTTTTCTGGTATTCAGAGGCCGTTCAGGAAAAATTGAACATGGTTCTGTGGTTCCCGCATCTGCCCCTATATCATGCAAAAGACCGTTTTCAAAAAGCTTGTCACGCCCTGAAAGACCTTCCTGGTTAGTGACAGCCCGCACCACAATGGCTCATGTGCTCACTATGCGCGCGTTTAGGATGTTGACCTTTTCTTTGTTGCATTTATTTACCTACCTGACAGTAACTCTTTCTTTGAGTTCTGTTCGTATTAGTACTGTGTTATACCTGTATTGTCTAATTCTTGTTGACCATGTGCGCACTAATTCCCACGTCCAAAGTGTGTACCCCTGGTTTAGCGGAGCATATAATAACAGAAGGTACCGTAATTACCCACGGGAGGTGAGAATGGTGTTAGACAGGTTGACCACGGGACGGTATTTGGGTTCAAACTTGAACTTTGCCCGAAATGGGGAAAATGCTCTGTACTTCAGAAATAATTATGGTTGTAAGATTTTGGACGTTATGCAGGGCCAGGACATCCCGAGATAGTCACAGGGATCAGGATTGTACTTACGTCTAGGGGAGTGCAAGGAGATCCGGCTTTGTGTGGATGAATCAATCTCGAAAGCCAAAGTTCTTTTTTAGCACACAGGAACTTGGTCACTCATCATTGAGCTCCTTCCTGCTCCAAAAATCCTTTAAACTTACCAGGAAAGCCTTTCAGGTCGTGCACCGCTTTCTAAAGACGGTCGTCCGCATGATGGGGAGAGGGAGGGGAGGTAGGATGGAGGCACATGCACGGAACACAGAACTGTGGGTAATTTTTCGTGAGCGGCCTTCAGGAGCCCTAAAAAGGGTCTGAAAAGCTCAAGCGCCACGCCTTTCTGACACCAGTCTTGGTAAAACCGGGTCACTGATGGTGCTTATGGTAATAAACATACATTACTAGCCGCAGCTATCATTCTGCGACATCATGCAAACGTCAATCGGAAATCAAAATTTGTCAGCACGGGAGTTGAACCATGGGCTCAACTTATGTCCCTTTCCTGGCATCACTCAGGAAAAATGAAGCATACTTCTAAGGAATTACTTAACCTTAACTCATCGTGGGGTCTGCCCTTATTCTACTTAAAAACCACTGATCTGCTTGCCTATCTGGATTTCACTTCGCTCATGCAGGTTCTC